ACCTATCAACCTAAAAATAATGAAAAGCAGTGCAATAAAAGTAAACAAAGCAGTGAAGTGTCAGCTCGACCAAGAGCTCGAGTCGAGTCAGAGCAAAGTACCAGCTCGATCGAGTTTAGGGACGAGTTGAGACAAACAAAGCTAAAGGTGACGACTTTAACAAGATAAAGAGAGAATTAGGGTTCAAGACAGGGTTTTGCAATCAAAGGAATCTACACTTAATCAATCTAGCTCTTAAAACTCCTTGTATCAAGGCTTCTCTTGATATTGGGCTTCTCAATGCCTAGCCAACCCTTTCCCAAGGTGGAGGCTATCAACCAAGGAATGATCTCAGAAACAGGGGGTTAGCCAGTGAGAATCAAACCTTGGAGGCTATAGGATCATTGCCCAAACTAATCCATCCAACCCCTTAGACCTCTATTGTCTAGAGCAAGAGATATTGGAGCTCTTAGTGGATCTTTTCCAGCGAATGCCATCACTTTCGTGTGGGGAGTCGCCTAAGGACTTACAAGCCAGGGGTAGTGGTCATGTAGCCTTAAGATCTATCCAAAAGAGAGAGAATCTAGATTAAGACCATAAGCTAGAAGGATTAAGCATATGAAACCTCTAATCTATCCCATCTCAAACCCCAATGGGTAACTACTCACTACACATGAATGTAAACACAAGCAAATGCAATAAAAGAGACATCATAAGAAAGAGGAGATGAAATTAAACAACTTTTATTGAAATAAGCAAGTGCAAATACAAGAGAGATTATCCAGGATCTAGGATTCAAGAAGCAAGAGCTTCAAGAACACAAAGATGAGGATTAGATCTCTAAAAAGTAAAAGTACAATAAATTAAAAGAAACTAAAACAAAATAATCTAAAGCTTGGTGGTTTTTTCGTGGCTTAGAGCCTTTAAATACAAGAGGATTAGGTTTAGGGTCAAAGGAAGTCAAGGGGGAAGCAACATTTTTCGGGTTTGACTTTGACTCCAGCTCGATCGAGTTGAAGCTTGGCCGGTCGAGTTGAGGAACTCGACCGGTTGGTCGAGTAGACGGTCGAGCTGGTCTTCAAGATGGCTTCTCCCTTCTTCCTTTGCGTATCCAGTTGAGCTGCTTCCATGTGCCAAGTCCCTCCATGCTCCTTATGTCCCATATGCTCCAGAATGCTCCAAAAGACCTATTTCAAAGGACCAAACATGCATATGTATGCAAATGCAACCTAAAACTAACATGAATGCATAAGAAGAGAAAAGGAACAAGATATGATGCAAATGAAAGCTAAAACTATGCAAAAGATGCATAAAAGATGTGCTAAAACTATGTAAAATGCAAGTACATCAACACCCCCAAACTTGAACTTTGCTTGCCCTCAAGCAAACAAATAGAACAAGAAAGAGATGAGGTTTGAAAATAGCTGATTCAACACTTAAAAACATGTCCTCAAAAGCGATTTGCTAAATGTCCAACTTAGAGATTCTAGAATGCAACAAGGTGAGAGATATTCATTAAGATTTAACCATGCTTATAACCATCAATCCCACTTCACAGTCACTCAAACAGTGCATTCAAATCAGCAAATCCCTTTAACATTCATTAAGCAAAAACAGTGAACCAAAAACATGCAAGATCAATCAACTCATTTGGTTTCAAGGGTTTTTGGGTTAAGAGACATCATAAGAAAGAGGAGATGAAATTAAACAACTTTTATTGAAATAAGCAAGTGCAAATACAAGAGAGATTAACCAAGATCTAGGATTCAAGAAGCAAGAGCTTCAAGAACACAAAGATGGGATTAGATCTCTAAAAGTAAAAGACAATAAATTAAAAGAAACTAAAACAAAAGTAATCTAAAGCTTGGTGGTTTTTTCGTGGCTTAGAGCCTTTAAATACAAGAGGATTAGGTTTAGGGTCAAAGGAAAGTCAAGGGGGAAGCAACATTTTTCGGGTTTGACTGTTGACTTCTCAGCTCGATCGAGTTGAAGCTTGGCCGGTCGAGTTGAGGAACTCGACCGGTTGGTCGAGGACGGTCGAGCTGGTCTTCAAGATGGCTTCTCCCTTCTTCCTTTGCGTATCCAGTTGAGCTGCTTCCATGTGCCAAGTCCCTCCATGCTCCTTCATGTCCCATATGCTCCAGAATGCTCCAAAAGACCTATTTCAAAGGACCAAACATGCATATGTATGCAAATGCAACCTAAAACTAACATGAATGCATAAGAAGAGAAAAGGAACAAGATATGATGCAAATGGAAAGCTAAAACTATGCAAAAGATGCATAAAAGATGTGCTAAAACTATGTAAAATGCAAGTACATCAACACCCCCAAACTTGAACTTTGCTTGCCCTCAAGCAAACAAATAGAACAAGAAAGAGATGAGGTTTGAAAATAGCTGATTCAACACTTAAAAACATGTCCTCAAAAGCGATTTGCTAAATGTCCAACTTAGAGATTCTAAAATGCAACAAGGTGAGAGATATTCATTAAGATTTAACCATGCTTATCAACATCAATCCCACTTCACAGTCACTCAAACAATGCATTCAAATCAGCAAATCCCTTTAACATTCATTAAGCAAAAACAGTGAACCAAAAACATGCAAGATCAATCAACTCATTTGGTTTCAAGGGTTTATGGGTTAAGAGACAATGGGGTTTAGTAACAGGGATCTCTCAAGAAAGTGGCTTTGCTTTGGCAGAAGGCTAAGTGTTAGAACCAAAGATGATGCAAGAACAGCAGCTCGAGCCGTCTAATCCTAACTCGATCGAGTTCAACACTTAGAGCTTTTTAGAACAAAATCCTAACTACCCTTTTTGGCATTTCGCCTTTGAAACTGAGGAGCTTTGCTCACTTTTCTTTTAAGAACTTCCTAGGGAGAGGCTTCTTGAGGTAACATCTAGCGGTTTGGGATTTTCTAAACACTTAGGGAACTTTTCTTTCCTTTTTGGACACTTGAGGCTTTGCCTTCTTTTCATTCTACTTAGAACCCTTTTTACTTCCTTTTTTAACTTCCCAAACCTTTACTAGACCCTTTTAAACACTGCCAACTCCCTGGACTTAAAAACTCTTTTTCCTTTGGGTTTTTCCCAACTTTTACCACTTTTCTGGTTTTTGACACCCAACTCGATCGAGCTCGAGTTGGCACCCCCAAACTTAGCCTGAAAACAATCCCAAGAGAACTAGACAACTAGAACTACTGCCCCTGCCGGTTTAAACACAACACCTTATGCTAAGCAAAGCCAAGAAAGGTTCTCACATTCGCACAAGAGATAAAATGGGGTTTGAAATGAAAAGGCTTAGGTTTAAGGTGTGGTAACTGTCTCAAAGATAGAGATCAGCTATCTGGACAAGCAAAAGGGATATGAAATGGTAAAGAATGTCCAGATATGTATGTGGTAGCCATGAGTTGAAATCAAATGCAAGCATTGGTAATTAAAGATCAAGTTATGGTTCAATAGATAGGGAAATGCATCAAATCACAGCAATGGTTGAATGAGATGTGCATGCAGTGATATGATCAAGATAAACATGGTTCTTGCTGCTCAATCAATCTCACCCTAATGCACAAAAGAATCTAAAAACAGGGCACTCAAGAAATCGCAAAAGATGGACAAGTTTTCAAAGTCAAATCAACAATGCAAGTGAAAAATGCAATCCTAAACAAGTCTAACAAATATGAATGCAAAAAGATGAAAATATTTTTGGATTTTTTGAAAATTTTATGATTTTTTTGGTTTTTCTATGCAAAAGATAAATGAAAAACTAAGAACAAAGAAAACAAGGTTAAATCATCTCTTGAACCCTCCCCCAAACTTAAATCACACAGTCCCTTGTGTGAGAAAAATTCAGTGAAAGATTCAAGAGGGCAAAACCAAGAAAAAACAAGAACAAATGACAAGAAAATATGAAATGGTATATACAAGGGTTGGTGTTTGGATACCTCAGTGTCCCCCAAAGAACTGGGAGACTAGGTCGTGGTCTGGAGATGGGAGACGGCCATCAGGAGCACTCCATGCAACTGGGGTTGCCTCTTGTGGCTCACTCGATCGAGCTTGTGGCTCCTCTTCCTCCTCTTCTTCATCTTGAAATGTGTGTGGCTTCCTTGGCCTTGGTGGAGCATTGGTAGCTCGTACTGTCCATAGGGGTTCCATCTACTCCGGGGAGGCTCCTGGTAAGGCATGGGATCGTATTCAAATCCCGGATCCTCGAACTGGGGCTCCTCCTGGTCAGCTCGACCGTCAGCTCGATCGAGTTGAGTTTCCTCTGTTTGGACTCGATCGAGTCCGGTGGTCGAGCTGGAGCGTCTGGCCTTGGAAGTCTTCCTCCTTCTCTGCGTGTTGTCTTCTCCTTCCCTTGGCTCGAAAGAAGAGGCTCTGTGAGGCTCTTGGGCAGGGAGCCTCCTTGGAGTGGTGAGGAGTGATCTACTCCTAGGGAAAGTGGGAGCCTTGGGGCCTTCTTCTTCTTGCTTGAAGAACCAGAAACTTTCTTCTCCAAACTCTTGATCTTGCTCACCATCTTGTCCATGGACTTTTGCATCTTCTCAATGGCTTTCCCTTGCCATTTGTTGAACTTTTGGAGAAGTCCAATCCTCTTGTGGCAGCCACAACAGAGGGGTTCATCCTTGGAGCCTCATACTCCTCAAAGTAATAGCACTCAGGCTCACCCAAATCAGCGCTTTCCTGCACTCCATCTTCAGCTGAGCCTCAGCTCGATCCTCAGCTCGATCGAGCTCGATCTCTTCTTCTGCAAATCTGCTTCATGCCCAACTAAGTGTACACAGGGGGTCTGAAGTCAATGTTCTACCTCCTAGGACCGTGGTGAGCTCAGGGTTGGGCAGGAGAAGCTTGGAGGAGTCCAGCCAATGGATGGGTGAACTTGAATTGGAATCTCCCATCCAACTCCTTGTGCTCAATGAGGAGGTTGGTCTTGCAAAACTTGATGTCCATCCAACCTGGTGGAGTAGACCTTCTCTTGTCCAGTTGAACTCCAGCTGCACAAAGATGGTGTGATGACCCCTCCAACACTAAGCTTTCTTCCTCTTTGGTGCCTAGTGTTGTAAGCTGTGACCTTGTAGGTGGAGCTGTCAAGGAGAGGCATGAGTTCCCTGCGTGTGCCCTATCTCCTCTGATCTTCTTCCCATCCTTGTGCGTGAGATGATGGGCTTGATTCCCATGTCAAGGAGCTTCACTTCTCCCTCATTGATTGTCCCAGTGGCCTTCCTTGCAAAGAAGGTGTTGGCAAGTGCCTTGTGACATATCTCAAGCACTGGGCTCCTGATCTGAGCAGCCTTGGACCTTGAGGAAGAGTACCCCTCTTCAGCTATTGTAGCCCAAACTCTTTGGAGTTCTTCTTCCTTGAGTTCCACTTGGTTACCTTCTCCATAGTGAACCCAAACAAGATCTCAGCTGCCTAAAGGTCACCATCTCTTCTCTCCCTTGCAAGAACGTGATCCCCCATCCTTGGTCCAACTCAGCTCGATCGAGCTCATCAAACTGTGGATGCTCATTGAAGCCAAAAACTCACAAGTGAGCTCCTTGTAGACTCCATGCGGTGAGAGAAGAACTTGGCCAAGTGCATGTTCTTGAGACCAACTCCACATCCTCAAAGATCCAAGGGCCTTCATGTGTCATCATGTGGGTACTTGGTCTCCACAAAGTCCATGGAGAAGAGAGCATTGTAGTGCTCTTGGTACATGGGGAGCTCATCCTCCTCTTGCTCTTCCTCAGCCTCTTCCATTGGCTCATCTTGGTTCCCCTCTTGGTCATCTTCATCAACCAATTGGTTCACCTCTTCTCCTTCCTCTTCACTCTCAGTCCTCACTCCTTCTTCATTTGGAGAGCCATTTCCTCCTCTTGAACAAGGTTCACTCCAATCTCAAACTCTCCTTGCTCACTCTCACTACTAATAGGGTCATTCCTCTTCTTGGTTCTCCTTTCTTCCCTCAATCTCTCACTCTCAGACTGTTCCTCAGAGTAGACATATCCTCTGCATCAGATTCTTCCATCCTCTGATCCATCTTCTCCAAATCGGCTTGCATCTTAAGCCTTTCTCTCTTGCATTGCTTGACTCACCCTCAACCATTCTCCTCTGTGAAGCGGCTTCCCTCACTGTTTGTCATCTTGTTACTCTGTTTCTTCACTAAAGTACCTGAAATGCATCAAAGATTACAAAGAATTAGAGTTGTAATGATCGGTTTGGTCAACTCGACACTCAGCTCGATCGAGTCAAAAAACTCGAGTGACAAACTCGATCGAGTTGGGTGAAAACAGAGTATAACCAAACCTAATTCAAGATTAAGAGCTGGAAAGGATGCTAATCAATCAAATTGAACCAAGAACAACTAGTAAATGGAACAATGAGCAATTCTAGAGAAGACTAAGCATCTTAACCAAATACCAAACTCAAATTCAATTTCAAGCACATGCAACAAGTTTAAGGCAAAACAGAGGTGAGGTGAACAAATTACAAGATTATACAGCAGAGGCGAAATATGAGGGCAATTACTCAAGAACAAGTCCACAAGGGACACATGCAATCAAAAATCAAAGGAAACAAGCAATAGTTGAAATCGAGATGGATGAATGAAGGGTTTTAGGGTTCATACCTTGTTGAATGAGGAATTGAAGAGCAGTAAACAAAACCCAAGCAAAACAAGAAGTGAACATGAAATCGCAAAAACTTAGAGAAAAAGTTGAAAATTCGAAATTTTCTTGTGGTGAAGAGAGAGAGAGAGATTTCAGAAATTTAGAGTGTGGGAGAGAGAAGGTGGGTTCGATCGAGTTATGGGGAAGAGGGAGTGTTTGAGATGTGTGGTTGAGATTAAAAGATGAAATAAAGAGGGAACAAAACTAGGGATTCTCTGATCAAATTAGGGTAGTGGGGGACCAAAATCAGCTTGTGGGACCCACTCCCTTGACCAAGAAAACGGTTATGAATTTGAAATTCAAAAACTTACCTGGTCGAGTTGTGTAGCTCGATCGAGTTGCCCTGGTTTCTAGCTCGATCGAGCTGTCGGTCGAGCTGGCTCCTTTGACACCTAAACTTAACTTATTGAAAGGTTAAAAACATAAAGATAGATAGAAATTGCATAAATAGAGTATGTACAAGGATAAACATGGGACTTCCTCCCAAGTGAGCTTGTTTAAGGTCCCATAGCTTGACCTTTACCTTCTTAGGCATTGGTTGAGCTAGTCCCACCATCAAGGGTGATAGTGAGGACTTGAGACAGAAGCTCCTTTAGCTTGGTTGGGTCCCTGGACTGTTCTGAAGTCACCAAGGCCTTGGCTCTAGAGAATGGCCTTGATCTCCCCTTGTACCTTATCTTGTACTCAATCTTCCCATTTTCAAACTTGGTGGGGAACAAGGTCATTGTGAGCTGAGATGGCTTGACTGAAGGGGCCTGAGCTGGTGGATCCTTTCTTTTATCCTGGTCTTGCCTTAGAGGCTGCATCCTCCCCTTCTTTTAGAGCCCTTCCTAGTGGCTCATCAAACAAAGCTTGAAGGCTCTCTTCATCAAGCACACAAGGGGCTTGAACAAGTCTCTCAGCTCTTGGCCTATCAGATCGTGGTTTCTCAACTCTAGCCCTCTCAAGACGTGGCTTCTCAATCCTTGGTCCTCTCTCATCCTTATCCTTCCCAACTCTTGGTTCCTTGTCAACCCTTTCCTTCACAACCTTTGTAGCTCCATGACTCTTAGAACTGAGATTGGTACTGTCAATTGTGGCACAAAAGTCTGAACCTCTAGGCTGCAAGCGATATGACACCAAACTATTCACCTTGTGAAGGATCACTTCTTGCTTGTGAAAGTCTATTGAAGCGCCAACTGTACTAAGGAAAGGGGTTCCCAATAACAAGGCAAATCCTTCTCTTCTTCCATTTCCATCACAGTGAGATCAGTTTGGATGATGCATTCTCCAATTTTCAAGTGATAGTTCTTGAACACTCCAAGAGGAGACTTAGAAGTTGCATCTCCAAACATGATTGAAGTAGTAGGGCGCTGCAAGGCTCCAGCAATGCCTAGCTTCTCTGCCATGGAGAGAGAGATCAGATTGATGCTTGCTCCAGAATCCACTAAGGCATTGTCAATCTCAAGATGCCCAAGTGTGCAAGGGAGAGTGAATTTCCCTTGATCCTTGACCTTTGGTAGGAAGGTGGGTGAAGTAAGCAGGTTGAACTGATGAGTAGACTCTTGTAGGACCTCTGAAACTTTATCACTGTTGGCTAGAACATCCTTGACCATTTGCATTTGATCAAATGCCTCACTCATGCTATCCATAGAGGCAACTCAATTCCAATCCCACTGAGATCTCTTCTGAACTTGTGAATCACTTCCTTGTGACCTTGACTAAGTAGGCGAGACGAGGAAGCGGCAACCGGTTGATAAGGATCAAGCAAAACAGGCTGTCGGACAGAAGAGGTCGGACTCGATCGAGCTAGAGTTGGACTCGATCGAGCTGCCGATCGAGCTTGTCGTGCGAGCTCAACTGGTGAAGTGTGAATGGCCACAGTAGGTGCATGCACTTCTGGTTGATCAATCTGGACTCCAGGAGCCTCAGCAGCAACAATCTCTTCATCATTCAGCAGTAAACAAAAATCTTCAATGACCCTTTCTTGATCCTCTTCTTCAACAAGTCCTTCTTGAGTGAAGATGACCTTGCACTGTTCCTTGGGGTTCTGAATAGCTTTACCAGGTAGTTGTCCTTGCTTTGTAGCAGCAGCAACAGAAGAAGCATGATTCTCCAGAGAGTAAACCCTTGTGTTGAGGTTCTCGATCTTAGAGTTTATTTCAGCTAGCTTCTTGCTTGTGTCCACTACCCCATCAGCTTGCCCTTGAAGTAGTTGCTTTAGCATTGCCTTGAGCTCATTCTCTTGTGAAGGTGCAGGCTGGGGCGGTTGGTGGGGGAAGCCTGGTGGGATATTCATTTGTTGTCCAGGGAAAGTGCCTTGTGGTCCTTGGTAATTGTTCTTTTGACCATACCCATGTTGTGGCACCTGACTCGATCGAGCTGCTTGTTGTTGAGGATATACTTGGTCCTGAGGGTTAGCAACATCAGTGTTGCGGTATGACATGGCAGGGTTGGACTTGTAGTTATAGTATCCTTTGTTGTAACCTCCTTGCCCATTGCTCATGTAGCACACCTCAGCAAATTGTGTATCCTCCCCTTCTTGGACTGGTTCCATCTCCTCAGCAGACACAAAGTTGACTTTCTTCATTGTGGACTGAGCTAGGATCAGCTTATCCAACTTCTCATTCAATGCCTTAACATCTTTTCTCAACTTTTCGTCTGACTCGATCGAGTGGTGGGTCGAGCTCCGGTTGGTGCGATCATACTCTTCTCCATAGCTTCCATTTGAGTTAGCTATGTTCTCCACAAGTTGCCAGCCATCATCTACATCCTGGTTGAGGAAGTTCCCATTGCTAGCTGTGTCTAGCATCTCCCTATACCTAGGCAAGCATCCTCTATAAAGAGTGGAGAGTAGGATTCATTGTTGAATCCATGGTGTGGGCACTGACTTGTGTAGCCTTTGAACCTCTCCCAAGCCTCTGCGAATGTCTCATTGTTTCGCTGGATGAAGCTGGATATCTCTCCTCTAAGCTTGGCTGTGCGACCGGTGGAGAAAAACTTAGCAAGAAAGGCCTTCTTGCATTCATCCCAAGTGGTGATTGTGCCATGGGGCAAGCTCTTCTCCCATTGCGTATCCAGTTGAGCTGCGTCCATGTGCCAAGTCCCTCCATGCTCCTCATATCCCATTTGCTCCAGAATGCTCCAAAAGACCTATTTCAAAGGACCAAACATGCATATGTATGCAAATGCAACCTAAAACTAACATGAATGCATAAGAAGAAAAAAGGAACAAGATATGATGCAAATGGATGCTAAAACTATGCAAAATATGCATAAAAGATGTGCTAAAACTATGTAAAATGCAAGTACATCAACACCTTAAGAAAATCCGAAATCCTCTCACCCTCTCTTAAGTTTTTCGATTTTTCAATGTTCATCATCTTGTTTTGCTTGGGCTCTAGTTACTGTTCTTCAATTCATCATTCAAGCAATGTATGAACCCTAAAACCCTTGAATCCTTCATCTCGATTCCTCTCATTATTGCTTGTTTTCCCCTTTGATTTTGATTGCATGTGCCCCTTGTGGGCTTGTTCTTGAGTAATTGCTTTCATGTCCTTCTCCTGCTTATAGTTTTGTGATTATTGCCTCACCTCACCTCTGTTTTACCATTGAAACTTGTTGCATGTATTTAAAACATTGAATTTGAGTTTGGTATTGGTTAAGATGCTTTGGTTCTCACTAGAATTGCTCATTGTTCCATTTACTTGTTGTTCTTGGTTCAATTTGATTGATTAGCATCCTTTCCAGCTCTTAATACTTGAATTAGGTTCGGTTATACTCTGTTTTCACCTAGCTCGATCGAGTTTGTCACTCGAGTTTTTTGACTCGATCGAGCTGAGTGTCGAGTTGACCAAACCGATCGTACAACTCTAATTCTTTGTAATCTTTGATGCATTTCAGGTACCTTAGTGAAGAAACAGCATAACAAGATGACAAACAGTGAGGGAAGCCGTGCTTCACAAAGGAGAATGGTTGAGGGTGAATCAAGCAATGCAAGGAGAGAAGGCTTAAAAATGCAAGCCGATTTGGAAGCAATGACTCAAAGGATGGAAGAGTCTGATGCAGAGGAGTATGTCTACTCTGAGGAGGAGTCTGAGAGCGAGAGATTGAGGGAGGAAAGGAGAACCAAGAAGAGGAATGACCCATTAGTAGTGAGAGTGAGCAAGGAGAGTTTGAGATTGGGGTGAACCTTGTTCAAGAGGAGGGTGATGGCTCTCCAAATGAAGAAGGAAGTGATGACTGAGAGTGAAGAGGAAGGAGAGGAGGTGAATCAATTGGTTGATAAGAGTGAGCAAGATAGTAACCAAGATGAGCCCATGGAGGAGGCTGAGCCAAAGAGGAGGAGGAACTCCCTATGTACCAAGAGCACTACAATGCTCTCTTCTCCATGGACTTTGTGGAGACCAAGTACCCACAGATGACACAATGAGGGCTCTTGGAGGATGTGGAGTTGGTACTCAAGAACATGCAATTGGCAAAGTTTTTCTCTCACCGCATGGAGTCCTACAAGGAGCTCACTTGTGAATTTTTGGCATCGATGAGGTATCACCAATTCGATGAGATCGATCGAGCTGAGTTGGACCAAGGCTGGGGATGGATTACTTTCTTGGCAAAGGGAGAGAGGAAGATGGTAACCTTCAGGCAGCTAGAGATACTCTTTGGTTCAGTTATGGAGAAGGAAACCTATGGAATATCAAGGAGATGAACTCCAAAGAGTATTGGGCTACAATCGCTGAAGAGGGATACTCTTCAAGGTCAAAAGCTGCCCAAATCAGGAGCCCAGTGCTGAGATATGTCCACAAAGTTTTTGCCAACACCTTCTTTGCAAGGAAGGCCACTGGTACAATCAATGAGGGAGAAGTCAAGCTCCTTGACATGGGAATTAAGCCCATCATCTCACGCACAAGGGATGGGAAGAAGATCAGAGGAGATAGGGCACACGCAGGAAACTTCATGCCTCTCCTTGAGCAGCTGCTCTCCTACAAGGTCACGGCCTACAACACTCGGTTTCAAACGGGAAGGAAACTTAGTGTTGGAGGAGTCATCACGCCAATCCTATGTGCAGCTGGAGTCCAACTGCACAAGAGGGTGTCAACTCCAGCTGGATGGATGGACATCAAGTTTTGCAAGACAAACCTCCTCATAGAACACAAGGAGTTGGATGGGAGGTACCAATTCAAGTTCACACATCCATTGGCTGGCCCTTCCAAGCTTCTCCTGCCAACCCAGAGCTCACCACAGTAGTCAGGGGTGAGAACATCGATTTCAGACCCCCTGTGTACACGCTAGTTGGGCATGAGGATGAGTTGCGAGAAGAGGAGCCTGAACTCGATCGAGCTGAGGATCGAGCTGAGGTTCAAGCTGAGGATCGAGCCCAGGAGAATGCGGATTTGGGTGAGCCTGATGTTACTATTTTGAGGAGTATGAGGCTCCAAGGATGAACCCCTCTGTTGTGGCTGCTCACAAGAGGATTGGACTTCTCCAAAAGTTCAACAAATGGCAAGGGAAGGCCATTGAAAAGATGCAAAAGTCCATGGACAAGATGGTGAGCAAGATCAAGAGTTTGGAGAAGAAGGTTTCTGGTTCTTCATCCAAGAAGAAGAAGGCAACCATGGCCCCCACATTCCCTAGGAGTAGATCTCTCCTCACCACCCCAAGGAGGCTTCATACCCAAGAGCCTCACAGAGCCTCATCATTTGAGCCAAGGGAAGGAGAGGACAACTCGCAGAGGAGGAGGAAGAGTTTCAAGGCTCGACGCTCTAACTCGAAAATCCAAAAGAAAAGAGTTTAGTTAAGTCCAGGGAGTTGGCAGTGTTTAAAAAGGGTCTAGTAAAGGTTTGGGAAGTTAAAAAAGGAAGTAAAAAGGGTTCTAAGTAGAATGAAAAGAAGGCAAAGCCTCAAGTGTCAAAAAGAAAGAAAAGTTCCCTAAGTGTTTAGAAAATCCCAAACCGCTAGATGTTACCTCAAGAAGCCTCTCCCTAGGAAGTTCTTAAAAGAAAAGTGAGCAAAGCTCCTCAGTTTCAAAGGCGAAATGCCAAAAAGGGTAGTTAGGATTTTGTTCTAAAAAGCTCTAAGTGTTGAACTCGATCGAGTTAGGATTAGGCGGCTCGAGCTGCTGTTCTTGCATCATCTTTGGTTCTAACACTTAGCCTTCTGCCAAAGCAAAGCCACTTTCTTGAGAGATCCCTGTTACTAAACCACCATACAAAAGAGACCCTCTTTGTCTCTTAACCCATAAACCCTTGAAACCAAATGAGTTGATTGATCTTGCATGTTTTTGGTTCACTGTTTTTGCTTAATGAATGTTAAAGGGATTTGCTGATTTGAATGCATTGTTTGAGTGACTGTGAAGTGGGATTGATGTTGATAAGCATGGTTAAATCTTAATGAATATCTCTCACCTTGTTGCATTCTAGAATCTCTAAGTTGGACATTTAGCAAATCGCTTTTGAGGACATGTTTTTAAGTGTTGAATCAGCTTTTTTCAAACCTCATCTCTTTCTTGTTCTATTTGTTTGCTTGAGGGCAAGCAAAGTTCAAGTTTGGGGGTGTTGATGTACTTGCATTTTACATAGTTTTAGCACATCTTTTATGCATCTTTTGCATAGTTTTAGCATCCATTTGCATCATATCTTGTTCCTTTTCTCTTCTTATGCATTCATGTTAGTTTTAGGTTGCATTTGCATACATATGCATGTTTGGTCCTTTGAAATAGGTCTTTTGGAGCATTCTGGAGCATATGGGACGTGAGGAGCATGGAGGGACTTGGCATGGACGCAGCTCAACTGGATACGCAAAGGAAGAAGGGAGAAGCCATCTTGAAGACCAGCTCGACCTACTCGACCAACCGGTCGAGTTCCTCAACTCGACCGGCCAAGCTTCAACTCGATCGAGCTGAGAAGTCAAAGTCAAACCCGAAAAATGTTGCTTCCCCCTTGACTTTCCTTTGACCCTAAACCTAATCCTCTTGTATTTAAAGGCTAAAAGCCACGAAAAAACCACCAAGCTTTAGATTATTTTGTTTTAGTTTCTTTTAATTTATTGTCTTTTACTTTTTAGAAGCTAATCCCATCTTTGTGTTCTTGAAGCTCTTGCTTCTTGAATCCTAGATCCTGGATAATCTCTTTGTATTTGCACTTGCTTATTTCAATAAAAGTTGTTTATTTCATCTCCTCTTTCTTATGATGTCTCTTTTATTGCATTTGCTTGTGTTTACATTCATGTGTAGTGAGTAGTTACCCATTAGGGTTTGAGATGGGATAGATTAGAGGTTTCATATGCTTAATCCTTCTTAGCTTATGGTCTTAATCTAGATTCTCTCTCTTTTGGATAGATCTTAAGGCTACATGACCACTACCCCTGGCTTGTAAGTCCTTAGGCGATTCTCCACATGGAAGTGATGGAAATTCGCTGGAAAAGATCCACTAAGAGCTCCAATATCTCTTGCTCTAGAAATAGAGGTCTAAGGGGTTGGATGGATTAGTTTGGGCAATGATCCTATGGCCTCCAAGGTTTGATTCTCACTGGCTAACCCCCTGTTTCTGAGATCATTCCTTGGTTGATAGCCTTCACCTTGGGAAAGGGTTGGCTAGGCATTGAGAAGCCCAATATCAAGAGAAGCCTTGATACAAGGAGTTTTAAGAGCTAGATGATTAAGTGTAGCTTCCTGATTGCAAAACCCTGTCTTGAACCCTAATTCTCGCATTAGCTTGTTAAAGTCGCTGCCTTTAGCTTTTTACTCAACTCGACCCTAAACTCGATCGAGCTGGTACTCTGTTCCACTCGACTCGAGTCCTTGGTCGAGCTGTTGCTCTTACTGCTTTTTTACTTTTATTGCATTGCATTTCATTTTTAGGTTGTTAGTGTTACCATATCTTTACTGCTTGCTTGACTTCCTGGTTGTTTCATATTCTCATAGAGTGACAATTTCCCATTTTGGATTGATAACCCTTTATGCTACTATCATGGTTAAAGGGAATTGTTGACTGTGTTTGTGTTTGCATCTTACCACCTCATCATATACCACTGTTGCATTCCACCACATCTCATTTCATATCTTTCACATCCACACACAAATCCTATCATCAATAGGTCCTTCCGGGTAAGTGAGGTCTTGCCGAAGGTATTCTACTCGTTCTGGTTCGATGTTTGGATTCGCCACATGTTTCCTCAGCATGGAAACATGGAATACAGGATGCAAATTCATTTCTGAAGGTAGTTCCAATCGGTAAGCTACGAAACCTACTTTTCCGATGATCTTGTATGGTCCGATATAGCGCACTGCAAGTTTGCCAATCTTTCCAAACCTATCCTTCCCTTTCTGAGCTGCTACCTTGAGATACACCATATCTCCGCTTTCGAATGTAACTTCTCTCCTCCTTTGATATGCGTACTTCTTCTGACAATCTTGAGCTTTCTTCATGTTGGTTCAGATTTCTAGTAATCGATCCATGGTATGATCAACTATCGGTGGTCCAAACACTCTTCTTTCTCCAACCTCCGTCCAACATAACGGTGTTCGGCATGGTCTTCCATATAAGGCCTCATATGGAAACATGCCTATACTGATGTTATGACTGTTGTTGTAGGAAAACTCTATAAGTGGTAAGTAGTCTTCTCACACACTAGACCAATCAAGTATGCACATGCGTAGCATGTCTTCTAGCGTGCGAATGGTTCTCTCTGTTTGCCCGTCTGTCTCTGGATGTAAAGCTGTGCTGAGGTTGAGCTCCGTTCCCATTGCTCCTTGCAATGCTTTCCAAAACGCTGCCGTGAATCTTGGATCTCGATCTGACACTATGTCTGCTGGCACTCTGTGTAGCTTGACTATCTGATTGATGTAGAGTTCGGCTAGGGTTTCTACCTTGTCAGAATCTCTGACCGCTGATATACCTCTAATTTACCACTTTTTATACTGTTTTAGCATTGTTTTCTAATGGTTTTTGGCAGGTTTTCTATCTAAAAAGGTAGTTTTACTGTGTTTATAGTGTCTAGAGTCTAAACAGGTGAAATGATGCATTTTGGAGCAAAACCATAGGATTTGCACTTCAAGCCGCTCCATGCACAAGCACCAACTTTAAGAGGGCCCAGAAAAAGATCTACTCAATGGATTTCATCAAGACCAGTTCCCTGCGTGCTCTGATTGAGTTAACTTTCCAACGCAACTGGAACGGCCTAATTTGGATGAGTAGAAAGGAGTCCGAGCTGGCCGAGGAACGAACGTCACGCTCGGCCAGAATCTGTCCGTCCGTCTGAAGTCTCGGCCAAAGTCCAAAACCGTTCGGCCGCACGCAAGTCACGACCCGGGAAACTATTGCCCGCGGTCGGCCACGCCACAACCTCACGCCACGCCGCGCACGACCAAAGCGCGCGAGCCGGGAAGCAAGCCTCGCGGCCGCGCAACCTGTCGCGTACCACGCCGAACGCTCCGTCCGAGCCGGGAACTACGTCCCGCGTCCGGCCGAGAGAATTCATCGGCCAATCTTCATCCGTCCGACCACAGCGGCCGACCACGACCGTTCCGATCGTACTAGGAGCGGCCACGACCCGATTCCGGCCGATCGTCCCGACCGACCGTCCCAACGCCGCGGTCGACCCGAAGCCCGTTTTGAAGCCCGATTTCATATTTTCAAGCCCGGCTTAACCCTAAGCCGCCTCAAAAGACCTAGCACTATATATATAGCTTTTTAGCCTCTTGTGAAAAGAGAGCCGCCCTTGTATTTCGATTTCCTACTCTAAGTTTTATTGCAATCATGTTTTCTTCATCTCTATGTGTGTTTGCTTTGATCATGTCTGAGTAATCCACTAGTTAGGTTGCTAGGGTTACTATTCAATGAGTTGCTTGCATGATCTTTGATTTCAATGATTAGCTAGGGATTATATTAGAGTCTTTGTCTCGTCTTGTGCACTTAACTAATGCTGATTGCTTTACCGCGCATCTAGTAATCCGATCTTAGGTTGATTTGAGCCTCGACAGTGCTGTATCATTCGCCGGACATATTCTTTGACAAGCTAGGTTTCTTAGACTGCGAAAGTTGATCTACTATAATCTAGTGAACTGTATCAGAACCTATTCATTCTAAAGCTTGATTTAATCACCTAGGGACATACCAAAAGTTTAGCGACTAGGTAGATTAACAAAGGAGCCGGAGCCTCGAAAGTGGAATGGTTTTATATTCGTGATCTGTGTTCTAGACGGTTCTTAATATCCCAACATCCCTAATCAATTCATCTATCATTGTTTCATTGATCATTGCTTGCTTCTCTGCGATAGCCCCTATGACCTAGCGCTTTTCCTTTATTGATTTACAACCTCGTTATACTTGCTAGTTCGGTTCACCATTACAACCTCAATCATACTTTTGTTTTAGCTTGATCCAAAATCCATAGTTTCAAAGTGTACTCAATAGCCAGTCCTTGTGTTCGATACCCATACTTCCGCGATCTGTGCACTTGCAGAGGTCTAGGAGTTTGGTAAAACCTGACTCCACATCAACCGCCAGTAAGTGTGCCACCTTAGTTAGTCTATCCACGATGACCCAGATTTAATTGTTCATTCGTCCTCTGGCTACTGGAAGTCCGGTAATGAAATCCATCGATATTGAATCCCATTTCCATTAAGGTATAGGTAGACTTTGCTCCGCCTTGATTTGTTGACACGTTTGGCATTCTGCTACCCATTTAGCCACTACCCTCTTTATGCCGGGCCAATGGTAATATTGCCGCACGTGTTTGTACATCTTGGTGCTTCCAGGAGGTATACTGAGAGTAGATTGATGAGCAATCCGAAGAATCTCTTCTCTAAGTTCATCTCTGAATTGGGCTTCTCGGATCCTATGGATTAATCCTGCCTGGTTGACTGCTTGAAATCCCAGTGGTTCGCTTGATTCTCCTTCTAAGTCTGATAATCTTATGTTTTGGAACTCGTTGTTGAGGGCTTCCAATTCTTTTCCAATGCTGACTTCCATTCGTCTCCTACTTAGTGCGTCAGCCACTACGTTCGCCTTTCCGGGATAGTATTGGATTTTGAGATCATAATCCGCTATGAACTCCATCCATCGTATTTGTCGAAGATTCAAGTCATTCTGAGTGAACAAATATTTAAGGCTTTGGTGATCCGTAAATATCTGAACACTCTCTTCATAGAGATATGACCGCCAAATCCTTAGTGCGAATACTACTGCCGCCATCTCCAAGTCATGAGTTGGGTAGTTCTCTTCATGCTTCCGTAGTTGTCTTGATGCGTACGCCAATACTTTCCCTGCTTGCATAAGGACAGATCCAAGGCCAACTCTTGATGCATCCGTGTACACGTCATATGGTTTGTCGGGTTCAAGCAAGGTTAGAACCGGTGCTGTGGTTAATGCTTCCTTAAGTTTGTTGAATGCTCCCTCCGCTTCTTCACTCCATACAAAGGGAACTCCTTTTTTCCGGTTAGCTTTGTCATGGGTTTGGCTATGGATGAGAATCCATTGACAAATTTCCGATAGTAGGCCGCCAATCCAAGGAAACTTCTCACTTCTGTTGCATTGGTTGGTGTCGGCCACTCCTTGATCACTTCAATCTTCTCCGAATCTGCTGATACGCCTTGTTCAGAAATCCGATGTCCTAAGAAACCTATCTCCCGTTTCCAGAAACAACATTTGCTAAACTTTGCATAGAGTTTTTGACCTCTTAATCTTTCCAAAACTTTCTTCAAGTGTCGTTGATGTTCCTCCTTGGTCTTGGAATAGATTAGAATGTCGTCGATGAAGATGATCACGAAGCTGTCCAGGTAGTCGTGAAACACTTCATTCATTAGCCGCATGAACGCCGCCGGTGCGTTGGTTAATCCAAATGGCATGACTTCAAACTCGTATTGTCCATAACGAGTGTTGAACTCCGTCTTCATTATTTCTTGATTTTTGATGGGGATTTGATGATATCCAGATGCTAAGTGAATTTTGGAGAACAAACTCGCTCCTCTTAATTGATCTACAAATTCATCAATCCTTGGTAGAGGATATTTATCTTTAATGGTGATGTTGTTGATTCCTCGATAGTCGATGCAAAGCCGCATACTTCTGTCCTTCTTCTTAACGAATAGTACTGGTGCTCCCCAAGGTGATGAGCTTGCACGTACAAATCCTTTGTCTAGAAGATCTTCCAATTGAGCCTTCAAATTCTGCTAGCTCTGCTGGTGCCATCCCGTATGGGGTCTTTGCAATTGGTGCTGCTCCCGGTATTAGGTTGATTGTGAACGGGTTACTCCGCGGTGGTGGTAACTCCGTTAATGATTTGAATACGTCTTCAAATCCGTTGACAACTGGTATTTCCTCGATCTTCTCCTCGCTTGAAGTCTTCTCTTCAACCACACTTATAGCAACAAGATAGGCACTCTCCTCTATCAGGTGCTGTCTCACTCTCATCGCCGATACCAAAGACACGCCGTTGCTTGGACGTATCCCTTGGTATATAGTTGAGTTACCATGGCCCTCCTCCAAGATAACTCTTCCTCTCCTACAATCTAAATAAGTCCTATGGATGGACAACCAATCCATTCCTAGGATTACCTCATATCCTACCATGGGTACTACTAATAGATTAACCTTGAAAACCTTATCCAAGATTTCCACCGGTACATCTAATAGTAAGTTAGAAGCTTTGAGAATTTGGTTTCCGGGAGTTATTACAGAAACATTAACTCTCTCAACCGCATAATCTAGCTCAAACTTTCGGAGTCACAAAACTATGTGTTGCTCCTGAATCGAACAAAACATGCGTGGGGTTGCCACCAACACGTAATGTTCCTAACAAAAGAAAAACAAGAATATTCGTCATTTCTCTACATGATTCGAAATAACGAATATCTTGAATGAATGCATGCTCTCTAATGCAATTTAAATAATACATAAGTGAGATTCCGATCACTTATTTATCATTTTCTAAGTGCAACTACTATGATGCATACTAACTACCAAACAATCAATCAATCAATCAACGAAGTCAATACGTATGCAAACCTGTAATGGGACCGCCAGACTGGTCTCGGTGTTCACCAATCTCAGCGCCCATAGCGTAAACACGCTCTGCAGGGGTTCGGCACTTGTTTGGGGCTTCATTTGCTGATCGGATCATTGTCGGTGGTCTATCTGCTGGTCTTGGCGCCACATTGGTCTTGACTGGACAGTTGTTGAAGAAATGTCCCTTGACTCCACAATAGTAGCATGTTGGTTGATATTGAGTAGTTACTGCCGTTCCGTTCTCCCTCTTCTCTGGGCATGATCGTGCAAAATGTCCTTTGCTTCCACAAACGAAGCAAGCTCCATCTCCTCTGCTCTTGTTCTCCGTTCTTGATCTTTCTCCTTGATTGGTTGGATAGGTCTTCTTTGTATTTGGGATGTTCCTTGGGTTTGAGCCTTCTCCTCGGTTCCAGTTGTCTTTGTTTCGATTTGCTATCGCTTTCTCCCTCTTTATGAAGTTCTCCACATTGACCGCCTTTTCAATCAAGTCGTAAAGGTGCGTGCAGGTTACCACTTGTAGTCTTCCGCCGGTCTCCGGTGTAAGACCTTGCAAGAATTTCCTGACCATGACTCCATCGTCACCATTTCCATAGTTGACATACTTCTGAAGGTGTATGAATTCTGCTTCATATTCTCGTACACTCTTGTTTCCTTGCATAAGAGTAACGAAAGCTTGCTCCATACGATCTCTCGCTTCCAAACGAAAGTATTTCCTTCTGAACTCTCTTTGAAAAGCTTCCCACGTGATGATAGTACGGTTGGTTTGTCTATCTACGCTGTTCCACCATCCTAGTGCTTCCTTCTCCAAGTAGTAGACTGCTACATCCTTCTTGAACTCGGTTGGACATCATGTTGCATCCATAGGACATCCATGTGTCGGCTTCGTCCGGATCATAGCTTCCTTCAAACCGATAGGTTCCCAAAGTCTTCATCATTGTCACACACTTAAGAAAGTCTGGGGGAGGAGGCGTTCCATTGCTTGCTCCCTGATGTAAGACTTGAGACAATAGGTTGTGAACCATGGTGAGGGTTGGATCCAGTGGTTGTTGTCCATTTGGGTTAGGTTGCCCTGCTGATCGGCTTCCTTGAGAATTGTCTGCTCCAATAGTTTGTTGTTCGGCAGTTGGATTTGGTTGTGGATGACCGTTAGAGACTCCATTTGGTGATTGTCGTGGTGTTGCGTTGTGATGCTCATGATCACTTGGCGCTTCGGTGCTTTCTGAAGATGAGTAGTACGGTTGTATTGGCACTTCCCAAGGTCCGTAGTGCCAATAGTTCGTACTATCCGAGTCATTGGCTGACTCTGGCATGTATCCGTGCAGGAACTCATACCAAGACCCTTCCTCCTTAGATGGCATGTACGTATCGTCAGAAGTGTTGCTCGCATTTCCCGATTGAGACACATCCTGACCCGATTGCGAACCCCGCGACCGATTCTCACCCTGGTTTGGCATCTAAACAAAAATAGAGAAAAAGGTAAGTCCTATTAATTAATCCTAGACCGTGGAACGCACTGGATTACCCTAACTTGGCTTTTGCGACTTTAGTTTTGACTCGATAAAACATTTGAAAACTGGCTTGTCCGTGAGCAAGATCATGAACCATGCTCTGATACCACCAATTCTGTAACACCCCCGATTCGATCTATACATAAATCTAATCGAGTGCATTACAGATGAGACTTAGATAAGTCAAGACTTGAGTCCCGGAGGGGATCCTTGACTCATGTCCGGTCCCGTCTAACTCTCTTACCACAATATCCAATATACTAAGGCTTTGCAACCCGTATTATGAATATTGAGTTGTGTTAGTTCGGACAAAACAAATATCATCCAAACAAGCCATCTTTTCATAAAACATAATTTTTATTCCCATTTATATTTTATTAAAGATGGAGTTTTAAAATACAAACAAAAGAGTTTTAACCAAGGCCTAATGCCCAAATAAATCAAAATAAACTAGGTGTGGGGTTTTAAAGTCATTAATCTTACAAATTAAAATTTTACAAAAGCCAAGGGAAATCTACTCCAGTGCCTAACGTTCCACGTTACTTCCAGGTCGATCTAAGGGTTTCCTGAAAAACAAATAGTCATCATAAGTAACCTAATAATACTTAGTGAGTCTAGGACCTTCTATACAACAAGTTTTTCGCCACTCTAAATCTAAAAATAAAGTACTAACAAAGTACGCATAACTTATCTAATTGGTAACACACATAGTCGACCAACGAGATAAGAGAAGCGGAAGCAAACAAACACACAATAATGAAAATATGCTCTACATGACCCTATATGTATGCAATAACATCCCATGTTATGAATGCATCCTAATATGCACTTTTAGGCCTCTAATACATGCTGATACTCCCCTCACGCGATATCCGTTCTAGAAATCACACATAAAACTATTACCAGAAATCTCGCCACCGTTATCCGTTACAATCACGGAACTCACGGTACTTGTGCTCAAGTCACCTGACAAGAACACAAGCTTAACTCATACCGTCGTACTACGCTCGGCCAAGGGAGCTACCCAAGTATATCCGAGCCTTCCCGCACCGCAGGGTATGAGGAGTACCAAGACATGCCCTAAGATCATGATTTACGCCAAAAATCAAATGATCTATCTACTCTATGAGTCACCAAGACTTTAATGCAAAAGATCTATAGCCCTTGCTATATTTCTTAAATAATGGATCATAACCTCTTCGTTATGTCCTATGGAACCTATAGCCCTTGCTATGTTCCATCCATATGAACCCATAGTTTTACTATGTCTCATATGCACTCAGATTTATAATTCTTTGAATTATAATCTTACCAAAAACCAAAAGAAAACCAAATAAAAATAAAGATAATTAAAAGTTACTTTGGGACTCTTACCCACAAGTAACACCTAAATTTCTAGTTGTCATGTAGTCTAGTTATGAAAACACCTTTGGATCGCATGTTTCATGAGTTCGATTATACATGCAAACCTAGAAATATAAGAAAAACAACTAAGCTTTTATGAGATCTAATCGGATGAAACACCTTTGGATCGCATGTTCCATGCCGAGATCGATTCTCATAAAAACAACTCAACTAAACTAAACTATACTACCGAGACTCACAGATTTAACGATGGTGTAGACGCTTGACACTCCAAACTCTATACCGTCGCTCCTAAGCTCTCGTTCTACTTCTACGAATCACTCACCTTACTATTTCTTCACTCTCTCACTTTTTTACTAAACTTAAGGAAGAGAAAATGAAGGAAAAATAGTTTACAATGGTGAGGGAGGGGTATTTATAGTGGCGGAGGAGACATGTGTGGGGTTGAAGTCTTCCTTTGGTCGATGCACACCTTTCAAGCATGTAGAGGAGTTGATTGACACTTGTTGTGATTCCATTTACTTAGGGAGTAAGGAATGTGCATTGGTGACACTTGTTGGTTCTTCTTACACTTGTATGGAAGGTTCCATTTGTCATAGGAGTTTGGAGTGTCCAACTCCTAAGTAACAAGTGTTGAAACTCAAAAAGTCACTTTTGTCTTCTCGCGACACTTGTCAATAAGTAGCTTTCTCGGCCAACTTTTTGCCCACTCGATCGAGTTGGTTTTTCTTGCTCGGTCGAGTTGATAGTTTCTCGGCCAAATACGTTCTGGCCGAGATTTCTTCCGGTTAGTTTCGTCCATGGCCGGCCGCGAACAAAATAACCTCCTTTGGCGCGGATTGGTTGACTTGGCGCTTTGGGCGCGTTGGGCGCTTCGGTCGCGCTTACGTCACTATGTTGGCTTCTTGTTTGCATTGAAAAGTGGTGGAGATGGTGTCGCTGCTCTTTCCTGGGAGCTACTACTCCCTAGCTTGATTTGTTTCTTTGGTGGTTCCATGAATGGATCCTTCTTTTTCTTCATGGCCTCACTTCCTTTTGTCCTTGCCATTGGGTACCTACAAGAGCAAATTCTTGGGAAGAGATATGAGTTTATGAATAATTTCATAAGAGAGATGAGCTAATTGAGTTGCAATAATGATATGGCATAATGAAACAACTCAAGGCTCAATCATATCAAAGAAACAAAATGGAAAATTCATATTTCAAAGTTAATTTCGGATTTTACTGTTCATCCCAAGATTATAGTGCATAAAATCGAAATTTTAAGCAAATCAAGAGAAATTGAGTTTCTAATCCAAGTAATCAATAGATATACTAATGAATTTGAGTATGACCAAGCAATTTCACCTTTGAATAAGGGGTTTGGAATGCCCAATAAGTTTTGTGAAAAACTATTCAATTGTGAAATTAACTTCAAATAACTCTAAACCACCTAGGTTTCACCTAGCTAAGTTCACCACAAGACTCATAAGAATGGTAATTTCAAGTTTAAACAAGAGTTTAAGCTAAACAAGAAACTATTAAGAATTTCAATCTTGCAAATAAATGAGAATTAGAGTTTGAAATCATACCTTATGTGTTGAAAAGTGAATAATGGTGCAAGAGCAAGTAAATTCAAGTTTAGAGTTATGAACAGTAAAAGTTTTGAAATCAAAGCTCTTAGAGTTCCTCTAATGGGGTTTTAGGGTTTTGGAGAAGAAAGTGAGGTTCTTGTTGTTTTCAAGGAAAAGGTAAAGTAAATAAGCTCAAAGTCCTATTAATTCTCCTTTTCAAATTCAAGTTTTAATTGAAAACCGGTTGAAGTTGGTTTAGGGTTGGTTAAAACCGGTTTGAATTTAATGAAAAGGGGACTTACCTTGGCCGAGAAAAGATGGGCCGATGGCCGATGGATTTCGTCGCGGCCGTGCGGTTTGGTCGGCCAAGTCCGCGAATGGACGAGAAATTTGGCCGAGGCTGATCGTTTGCTTCCCGGATCGACCGTGACGGTCGGTCCGTCCCGATACGTGATTCCGGCCGAGCGCGGCCCGTTCCTTCTCTGTCTGTGCGTGCCGCGCGGAAGGTTTTGTCGCGCGATAGAACGTCCGGCCCAGCATAAGCCGTTCCTTTCTGGCTCGACCGGTATGGTCGGCCCGAGAAGAAATTTTTCTCGGCCAGAATCTCTTTGGCGGGTCCGCGGCCAATGGTTTGGCCCAGATTGTGTTTTCACACCTTTTTCTCCTTCTATCCTATCTTAAAACAAAGAAAACACAAAAGCAAAACAAAAACTAAGAAATTTAAAAAAAGAAAAGTAAAAGTACCTCATGGGTTGCCTCCCATGCAGCGCTTAGTCGAGTTAGGTACTGCTGCAGTCCCCGGCAACGGCGCCAAAAACTTGATGCGGAGTCAGGTTTTACCAAACTCCTAGACCTCTGCAAGTGCACAGATCGCGGAAGTATGGGTATCGAACACAAGGACTGGCTATTGAGTACACTTTGAAACTATGGATTTTGGATCAAGCTAAAACAAAAGTATGATTGAGGTTGTAATGGTGAACCGAACTAGCAAGTATAACGAGGTTGTAAAGCAATAAAGGAAAAGCGCTAGGTCATAGGGGCTATCGCAGAGAAGCAAGCAATGATCAATGAAACAATGATAGATGAATTGATTAGGGATATTGGGATATTAAGAACCATCTAGAACACAGATCACGAATATAAAACCATTCCACTTTCGAGGCTCCGGCTCCTTTGTTAATCTACCTAGTCGCTAAACTTTTGGTATGTCCCTAGGTGATTAAATCAAGCATTAGAATGAATAGGTTCTGATACAGTTCACTAGATATAGATAGATCAACTTTCGCAGTCTAAGAAACCTAGCTTGTCAAAGAATATGTCCGGCGAATGATACAGCACTGTCGAGGCTCAAATCAACCTAAGATCGGATTACTAGATGCGCGGTAAAGCAATCAGCATTAGTTAAGTGCACAAGACGAGACAAAGACTCTAATATAATCCCTAGCTAATCATCGAAATCAAAGATCATGCAAGCAACTCATTGAATAGTAACCCTAGCAACCTAACTAGTGGATTACTCAGACATGATCAAAGCAAACACACATAGAGATGAAGAAAACATGATTGCAATAAAACTTAGAGTAGGAAATCGAAATACAAGGGCGGCTCTCTTTTCACAAGAGGCTAAAAAGCTATATATATAGTGCTAGGTCTTCAGAGGCGGCTTAGGGTTAAGCCGGGCTTGAAAATAGTGAAACGGGCTTCAAAACGGGCTTCGGGTCGACCGCGGCGTTGGACGGTCGGTCGGGACGATCGGCCGGACAATCGGGTCGTGGTCGGATCGGAACGGTCGGCCGCTGGGTCGGATGGTGAAGGATTGGCCGATGATTCTCGGCCGGACGCGGGACGTAGTTTCCCGGCTCGGACGGCGCATCGGCCGTGGTACGCGAGAGGTTGCGCGGCCGCGAGGCTTGCTTCCCGGCTCGCGCGCTGGTCGTGCGCGGCTGGCGTGAGTGGTTGTGGCTGGCCGACCGCGGGACATTGTTTCCCGGGTCGTGATGCGTGATCGGCCGGTGGTTTTGACTTTGGCCGAGACTTCAGACGGACGGATTATTTGGCCGAGCGCGGAACATTCGTTCCTCGGCCAGCCGGACTGCGCGGTTGGGCGCGATTCTCGATAGAGCCGTCTGGACAGTCTTCACTCTTTTGGTTGTAACTCCTTTTCTACTCATCCAAATGAGGCCGTTCCAGTTGCGTTGGAAAGTTAACTCAATCAGAGCACGCAGGGAACTGGTCTTGATGAAATCCATTGAGTAGATCTTTTTCTGGGCCCTCTTAAAGTTGGTGCTTGTGCATGGAGCGGCTTGAAGTGCAAATCCTATGGTTTTGCTCCAAAATGCATCATTTCACCTGTTTAGACTCTAGACACTATAAACACAGTAAAACTACCTTTTTAGATAGAAAACCTGCCAAAAACCATTAGAAAACAATACTAAAACAGTATAAAAAGCATGTAAAATAGAGGTATGTCACGTATCCAATTGAGCTGCATCCATGCACCATGTCCTTCCTTGCTCCTCACGTCCCATATGCTCCAAAATGCTCCAAAAGACCTTTTTCAAGGACCAAACATGCATCTGTATGCAAATGCAACCTAAAACTACTATGAATGCACAAGAAGAGAAAGGGAACAAGATATGATGCTAATGGATGCTAAAACTATGCAAAAGATGGATAAAAGATGTACTAAAACTATGCAAAATGCAAGTACATCATCTGTCCTCAACAACAGCAAGCTCGATCGAGTCAAGCCCCAACATGGGTATGGTCAAAAGAACAATTACCAAGGACCCAAGGGACTTTCCCTGGACAACAAATGAATACCACCAGGCTTTCCCCACCAACCACCCCAGCCTGCACCTACACAAGAGAATGAGCTCAAGGCAATGCTAAAGCAACTTGCTTCAAGGGCAAGCTGATGGGTAGTGGACACAAGCAAGAAGCTAGCTGAAATAACTCCAAGATCGAGAATCTCAACACAAGGGTTTACTCTCTGGAGAATCATGCTTCTTCTGTTGCTGCTGCTACAAAGCAAGGACAACTACCTGGTAAAGCTATTCAGAACCCCAAGGAACAGTGCAAGGTCATCTTCACTCAAGAAGGACTTGTTGAAGAAGAGGATCAAGAAAGTCATTGAAGATTTTGTTTACTGCTGAATGATGAAGAGATTGTTGCTGCTGAGGCTCCTGGAGTCCAGATTGATCAACCAGAAGTGCAGGCCTACTGTGGCCATTCACACTTCACCAGTTGAGCTCGCACAACAAGCTCGATCGGCAGCTCGATCGAGTCGAACTCTAGCTCGATCGAGTCCGACCTCTTCTGTCCAAACCATTTTGCTTGATCCTTACCCCGTTGCTCCTCGTCTCGCCTACTTAGTCAAGGTCACAAGGAAGTGATTCACAAGTTCAGAAGAGATCTCAGTGGGATTGGAATTGAGTTGCCTCTATGGATAGCATGAGTGAGGCATTTGATCAAATGCAAATGGTCAAGGATGTTCTAGCCAACAGTGATAAAGTTTCAGAGGTCCTGAGAGTCTACTCATCAGTTCAACCTGCTTACTTCACCCACTTTCCTACCAAAGGTCAAGGATCAAGGGAAATTCACTCTCCCTTGCACACTTGGGCATCTTGAGCTTGACAATGCCTTAGTGGATTCTGGAGCAAGCATCAATCTGATCTCTCTCTCATGGCAGAGAAGCTAGGCATTGCTGGAGCCTTGCAGCGCCCTACTACTTCAATCATGTTTGGAGATGCAACTTCTAAGTCTCCTCTTGGAGTGTTCAAGAACTATCACTTGAAAATTGGAGAATGCATCATCCAAACTGATCTTACTGTGATGGAGATGGAAGAAGAGAAGGATCTACCTCTGTTATTGGGAACCCCTTCCTTAGTACAGTTGGCGCTTCAATAGACTTTCACAAGCAAGAAGTGATCCTTCACAAGGTGAATAGTTTGGTGTCATATCGCTTGCAGCCTAGAGGTTCAGACTTTTGTGCCACAATTGACAGTACCAATCTCAGTTCTAAGAGTCATGAAGCTACAAAGGTTGTGAAGGAAAGGGTTGACAAAGAACCAAGAGTTGGGAAGGATAAGGTTGAGAAGGACCAAGGATTGACCAAGATTGAGAAGCCACGTCTTGAGAGGGCTAGAGTTGAGAAACCACGTTCTGATAGGCCACGAGCTGATAGACTTGTTCAAGCCCCTTGTGTGCTTGATGAAGAGAGCCTTCAAGCTTTGTTTGATGAGCCACTAGGAAGGGCTCTAAAAGAAGGGGAGGATGTAGCCTCTAAGGCAAGACCAGGTGATAAAAGAAAGGATCCACCAGCTCAGGCCCCTTCAGTCAAGCCATCTCAGCTCACAATGACCTTGTTCCCCACCAAGTTTGAAAATGGGAAGATTGAGTACAAGATAAGGTACAAGGGGAGATCAAGGCCATTCTCTAGAGCCAAGGCCTTGGTGACTTCAGAACAGTCCAGGGACCCAACCAAGCTAAAGGAGCTTCTGTCTCAAGTCCTCACTATCACCCTTGATGGTGGGACTAGCTCAACCAATGCCTAAGAAGGTAAAGGTCAAGCTATGGGACCTTAAACAAGCTCACTTGGGAGGAAGTCCCATGTTTATCCTTGTACATATTCTTTATGCAATTTCTATCTATTTTGTGTCTTTAACCTTTCAAAGTTAAGTTTAGGTGACAAAGAGCCAGCTCGACCGACAGCTCGATCGAGCTAGAAACAAGGGTAACTCGATCGAGGTAAGTTTTTGAATTTCAAATTTCTAACCGTTTTCTTGGTCAAGGGAGTGGGTCCCACAAGTTATTTTGGTCCCCCACTTCCCTAAATTGATCAGAAAAACCCTAGCTTTTGTCCCCTCTTTATTTCATCTTTTAATCTCAACCACACATCTCAAACACTCCCTCTTCCCCATAACTCGATCGAACCCCTTCTCTCTCTCCCACACTTAAAATTTCTGAAACATCATCTCTCTCTTCACCACAAGAAAATTTCGAAATCTCTTCTCTCTTAAGTTTTTGCGATTTTCCTTGTTCTTCATCTTGTTGTTTGTTTCTAGCTTTCTACATCATCAAACAAGGTATGAACCCTAAACCCTTCATTCGATTCCTCTCTATCTCTTATTGCATGTTGTTCTCTTTGATTTTGTTTAGATGTGTCACTTGTGGACTTGTTTTTAAGAAATTGCTTTCATTTCCTTCTCCTGCTTTTTAATTCTGTGAATTTGCCTCACCTCACCTCTGTTTTGCCATTAAACTTGTTGCATGTGCTTGATTCCTTTGAATTTGAGTTTTGTATTGGTTAGGATGCTATTTTCTTTATCTTGAATTGCTTATTGTTCCAAGTTCTTGATGTTCTTAGTTCAGTTTGATTGATTAGCATCCTATCTAGCTCTTAATACTTGATATAGGTTCGGTTTTACTCTGTTTTCACTTAGCTCGATCGAGTTTGTCACTCTAGTTTTTTGACTCGATCGAGCTGGGTGTCGAGTTGACCGAACTGATCATTACAACTCTAATTCTTTGTAATCTTTGATGCATGTCAGGAACCTTAGTGGAAAAACAGCATAAAAAGGATGACAAACAGTGAGGGAAGCCGTGCTTCACACAGGAGAATGATTGAAGGTGAATCAAGCAATGCCATGGAAAGGAGGGTAAAATTGCAAGCCGATTTGGAAAGGATGAATCAAAGGATCGAGGAGTCTGAGGCAGAGGGGTATGTCTACTCTGAAATTGAGTCTGAGAGCGAGATATTGAGGGAAGAGACGAGGACCAAGAAGAGGAATGACCCCCATTAGTAGTGAGAGTGAGCAAGGATAGTTTGAGATTGGGGTGAACATTGGACAAGAAGAAAGTGATGAGTCTGAGAGTTAAGAAGAAGGAGAAGAGGTCAATCAAGAGGTTGATGGAAGTGAACATGAGAGTAACCAAGATGAGCCCATGGAGGAGGCTGAGCCACAAGAGTGGAGGATGAACTTCCCATGTTCCAAGAGCACTACAATGCTCTTTTCTCCATGGACTTTGTGGAGACCAAGTACCCAGATGATGACACAATGAATGCTCTAGGGATCTTTAATGATGTGGAGATGGTACTCAAGAACATGCATTTGGGAAGGTTCTTCTCTCATCGCATGGAATCCTACAAGGAGCTCACTTGCGAGTTCTTGGCTTTAATGAGATACTACATGTACGATGAGGAGGATAGAGCCGATTTGGACCAAGGATTTGGATGGATCACGTTCATGGGTAATGGAGTCCAGAGTATGGTTACTTTTAGGCAATTGGAGATCTTGTTTGGCTTCAACTATGGAGAGGGGACTCAATGGGACTTCAAGGAAAGCGAGCTCCATGGGCTACAAAGTATGAAGGAGAGTACTCCTCCTCACGGTCTAAGGCAGCTCAAATCAGGATCCCAGTGATTAAGCTGAGTGGCGAGAAGAGGAGCCTGAACTCGATCGAGCTGAGGATCGAGCTGAGGCTCGAGCTGAAGATCAGTCCAGGAATGGATTTGGGTGAGCCTGAGTGCTATTATTTTGAGGAGTATGAGGCTCCAAGGATGAACCCCTCTGTTGTGGCTGCCCACAAGAGGATTGGACTTCTCCAAAAGTTCAACAAGTGGCAAGGGAAAGCCATTGAGAAGATGCAAAAGTCCATGGACAAGATGGTGAGCAAGATCAAGAGTTTGGAGAAGAAGGTTTCTGGTTCTTCAAGCAAGAAGAAGAAGGCCCATGGCCACATTCCCTAGGAGTAGATCTCTTCTCACCACTCCAAGGAGGCTCCCTGCCCAAGAGCCTCACAGAGCCTCTTCTTTCGAGCCAAGGGAAGAAGGAGACAACACGCAGAGAAGGAGGAAGAGTTCCAAGGCCAGACGCTCCACTCGACCACCGGACTCGATCGAGTCCAAACAGAGGAAACTCAACTCGATCGAGCTGAGGTCGAGTTGACCTGAGGGAGCGTTTGAGAACCCTGGATTTGAGTACGATCCAACCTTACCAGGACTCCCCAGAGATGGAACCCATACGCGTGAGCACCAACTCCACCAAGGCCAAGGAAGCCACACACTTTGAGGAAGAAGAAGAAGAGGAGCCGAAGTGCCTGATGGAGTGCTCCTGATGGCCGTCTCTCTCCAGACCACGACCTTGCCTCCCAGTTCTTTGGGGGGCACTGAGGTATCCAAACACCAACCCTTGTAATACCATTTCATATTTTCTTGCATTTTTCTTTTTCTTGGTTTTGCCCTCTTGAATCTTTCACTAAATTTTCTCACACAAGGGACTGTGTGATTTAAGTTTGGGGGAGGGTTCAAGAGATGATTTAACCTTGTTTTCTTTGTTCTTAGTTTTTCATCTTTTGCATAGAAAAACCAAAAAAATCATAAAATTTTCAAAAAATCCAAAAATATTTTCATCTTTTTGCATTCATATTTGTTAGATTGTTTAGGATTGCATCTTCATTCATTGCATTGTTGATTTGATTTGAAAACTTGTTCATCATTTGCGATTTCTTGAGTGCCCTGTTTTTAGATTCTTTTGTGCATTAGGGTGAGATTGATTGAGCAACAAGAACCATGTTTATCTTGATCATATCACTGCATGCACATCTCATTCAACCATTGCTGTGATTTGATGCATTTCCCTATCTATTTGAACCATAACTTGATCTTTAATTACCAATGCTTGCATTTGATTTCAACTCATGGCTACCACATACATATCTGGACATTCTTTACCTATTTTCATATCCCTTTTGCTTGTCCAGATAGCTGATCTCCATCTTTGAGACAGTTACCACACCTTAAACCTAAGCCTTTTTCATTTCAAACCCCATATTATCTCTTGTGCGAATTGTGAGAACCTTTCTTGGCTTTGCTTAGCATAAGGTGTTGTGTTTAAACCGGCAGGGGCAGTAGTTCTAGTTGTCTAGTTCTCTTGGGATTGTTTTCAGGCTAAGTTTGGGGGTGCCAACTCGAGCTCGATCGAGTTGGGTGTAAAAACCAGAAAAGTGGTAAAAGTTGGGAAAAACCCAAAGGAAAAGAGTTTAGTTAAGTCCAGGGAGTTGGCAGTGTTTAAAAAGGGTCTAGTAAAGGTTTGGGAAGTTAAAAAAGGAAGTAAAAAGGGTTCTAAGTAGAATGAAAAGAAGGCAAAGCCTCAAGTGTCAAAAAGAAAGAAAAGTTCCCTAAGTGTTTAGAAAATCCCAAACCGCTAGATGTTACCTCAAGAAGCCTCTCCCTAGGAAGTTCTTAAAAGAAAAGTGAGCAAAGCTCCTCAGTTTCAAAGGCGAAATGCCAAAAAGGGTAGTTAGGATTTTGTTCTAAAAAGCTCTAAGTGTTGAACTCGATCGAGTTAGGATTAGGGGCTCGAGCTGCTCTTGCATCATCTTTGGTTATAACACTGATGATAGATTTGTGTGTGGATGTGAAAAGAATGAAATGAGATGGTGGAATGCAATCAGTGGTAATGATGAGGTGGTAAGATGCAAACACAAACACAGTCAACAATTCCCTTTAACCATGATAGTTGATGTAGTACAAAGGGTTATCAATCCAAAATGGGAAACTTGTCACTCTTTGAGAATATGAAACAACCAGAAAGTCAAGCAAGCAGTTATAGATTTGAAGTAACACTAACAACCTAAAAATAAATGAAAAGCAGTGCAATAAAAGTAAACAAAGCAGTGAAGTGTCAGCTCGACCAAGAGCTCGAGTCGAGTCAGAGCAAAGTACCAGCTCGATCGAGTTTAGGGACGAGTTGAGACAAACAAAGCTAAAGGTGACGACTTTAACAAGATAAAGAGAGAATTAGGGTTCAAGACAGGGTTTTGCAATCAAAGGAATCTACACTTAATCAATCTAGCTCTTAAAACTCCTTGTATCAAGGCTTCTCTTGATATTGGGCTTCTCAATGCCTAGCCAACCCTTTCCCAAGGTGGAGGCTATCAACCAAGGAATGATCTCAGAAACAGGGGGTTAGCCAGTGAGAATCAAACCTTGGAGGCTATAGGATCATTGCCCAAACTAATCCATCCAACCCCTTAGACCTCTATTGTCTAGAGCAAGAGATATTGGAGCTCTTAGTGGATCTTTTCCAGCGAATGCCATCACTTTCGTGTGGGGAGTCGCCTAAGGACTTACAAGCCAGGGGTAGTGGTCATGTAGCCTTAAGATCTATCCAAAAGAGAGAGAATCTAGATTAAGACCATAAGCTAGAAGGATTAAGCATATGAAACCTCTAATCTATCCCATCTCAAACCCTGGGTAACTACTCACTACACATGAATGTAAACACAAGCAAATGCAATAAAAGAGACATCATAAGAAAGAGGAGATGAAATTAAACAACTTTTATTGAAATAAGCAAGTGCAAATACAAGAGAGATTAACCAGGATCTAAGATTCAAGAAGCAAGAGCTTCAAGAACACAAAGATGAGGATTAGATCTCTAAAAAGTAAAGTACAATAAATTAAAAGAAACTAAAACAAAATAATCTAAAGCTTGGTGGTTTTTTCGTGGATTCAAGAAGCAAGACCCCTTAAAATCTTAATGAATATCTCTCACCTTGTTGCATTCTAGAATCTCTAAGTTGGACATTTAGCAAATCGCTTTTGAGGACATGTTTTTAAACCTCAAACCTCATCTTTCTTGTTCTATTTGTTTGCTTGAGGGCAAGCAAAGGTCAAGTTTGGGGGTGTTGATGTACTTGCATTTTATAGTTTTAGCATCTTTTATGCATCTTTTGCATAGTTTTAGCATCCATTAGCATCATATCTTGTTCCTTTTCTCTTCTTATGCATTCATAGTAGTTTTAGGTTGCATTTGCATACATATGCATGTTTGGTCCTTGAAATAGGTCTTTTGGAGCATTTGGAGCATATGGGACGTGAGGAGCAAGGAAGGACTTGGTGCATGGACGCAGCTCAACTGGATACGCAAAGGAAGAAGGAGGAAGCCATCTTGAAGACCAGCTCGACCACTACTCGACCAACCGACCAGTCGAGTTCCTCAACTCGACCGGCCAAGCTTCAACTCGATCGAGCTGAGAAGTCAACAGTCAAACCCGAAAAATGTTGCTTCCCCCTTGACTTTCCTTTGACCCTAAACCTAATCCTCTTGTATTTAAAGGCTCTAAGCCACGAAAAAACCACCAAGCTTTAGCTTATTTTTGTTTTAGCTTTCTTTTAATTTATTGTCTTTTACTTTTTGCAACTCTAATCCATCTTTGTGTTCTTGAGCTCTTGCTTCTTGAATCCTAGATCTGGATTATTCTTTGTATTTGCACTTGCTTATTTCAATAAAAGTTGTTTATCTTCATCTCCTCTTTCTATGATGTCTCTTTCATTGCATTTGCTTGTGTTTTAGTAGTCCCATTAGGGTTTGAGATGGGATAGATTAGGGGTTTTATGCTTAATCCTTCTTGCTTATGGTCTTAATCTAGATTCTCTCTCTTTTGGACAATCCTTAAGGCTACATGACCACTACCCCTGGCTTGTATGTCCATTAGGCGATTCTCCACATGGAAGTGATGGAAATCGCTGGAAAAGGTCCACTAAGAGCTCCAATAACTCTTGCTCTCGAAATGGAGTTCATAGGGGTTGGATGGATTAGTTTGAGCAATGATCCTATGGCCTCCAAGGCTTGATTCTCACTGGCTAACCCCCTGTTTCTGAGATCATCCTTGGTTGATAGCTTTCACCTTGGGAAAGGGTTAGCTAGGCATTGAGAAGCTCAATATCAAGAGAACCTTGATACAAGTTGTTTAAGAGCAAGATTGATTAAGTATAGCTTCCCTGAAAAACCCTGTCTTGAACCCTAATATTCGCTTTAGCTTGTTAAAGTTCCTGCCTTTATCGCTTTTTACGCTAACTCGACCCTCAACTCGATCGAGCTTGGTCACTCTGTTCCGACTCGACTCGAGTCCTTGGTCGAGCTGCTTGCTTTACTGCTTTCCTTTCATTTATTGCATTGCATTTCATTTCCTTAGGTTGTTTAGTTGTTACCCCCTTATCATTATGTTTGCTTGACTTCCTTGTTATTGCATATTCTCATAGAGTGAAATTTCACCCATATGGATTGATACCCCTTATACTTCAATGACTATGATGGTTAAGGGGAATTGTTGATTGTGATTGTGTTTTGCATCTTACCACCTCATCTTCATATACCACTGTTGCATTCCACCTCATTTACATTTCATATCATATTTTTCTCATAACACCACAAAATCCTATCATCAGCGTTCAATACAATTCTACGCAATTCAACACAATCCAAGTTCTGAGCCCAAGGTGACAGAAGCCCAATTTCCTAAGAGCCCAAACCTTATCTGCGACAGCTCAACGCATAATACAGTATACCTCTGGTTCAGGCCTCGCACGTTGTACGATTGTGGCCCAACTGATGACATTTGGAGCAGCTGTGTTCCTTTCGGGGACGTTTCCGATCCATGACAACCTCTAGTACACCTTTAATACGTGAGTTTTTAGGCCTACCTGGTGGTTACCGCAACTTAGGTGGTTTACAAACCTTGTCTGAGACAACTTGAGGCGCCGGCTGAGATATGTCGCGAGGCATAACCACTTTTGCATATGCATTGCTAACACTTTCTGCGCGGTGGTAAGGATGTGCCAGTGTGACTCGTGGTATATTTGCGGACAATGCATCTGCAAGTGCGTGTACACATGGAATTTTATCCAAATCAAACCTCCGGCATGTACACATTCTCGCCGTTATATTGACAACATGTAAAATTCCGCCGCACGTCACTTGTATTTGGTCATCATCAATCTCCTGAGCTGTCCATAGCTTCGAATTATCCACCCTTGACTGATTTTCAATTAATGAATTAGAATTTCAGCGACTAACAAATACATGCATCAAAGTGTACCTCGAGTAGTTTTTCAACTCCTGTTGTGAGGAAAGTTTTCATCAAACTCGCCTTCCTCCTCCTTGCAGCAAACCATCTTGTTAACATCGACCTCGCCTCGTCCACAAGCTCGACTATAGGATAACCCCTTGCGTCGGAGAGGACTTTATTCATACATTCTGCAATGTTACTTGTGGTGAAATTGTACGTGTTTCCAGGAAAATGCACACGTGTCCACCAACGCACATCCGCATTCACCAAATAATTATGTAGTTCGGGATCCAAAGCTTGAATCTGAGCAAATATCAGATTGAAATCCACGAGACGGTATGCCGCCGCCGCCTT